TATAATTTTAGGGAACCTTTCAAAAGTCTGGGATAAAAACTATCCTATGTTCTTTCTCAAAGTCAACTCTATGTCTGTACCAAATTTCATTAAAATCAGTTCAGTAGTTTAGGCGTGAAAGCGTAACAGACAGGCAAACAGACATTTATAATATTAGTAGGGATTATATATATTTACATAGTAAAAAATAATGTTTAATTTACTTTATTGATAGCCAAAAATTCTTCGTATCGTCTTTGAGGTATGTGATCTGGTTTTTACTATATTAATACTAGAACTTCTAGTTTGATATATATTAATTGTCGTAGAGTTAATAGAATTTTTCTTATATTTTATATATTCATACATACAAGATAGACTTTACAAAATGACTCTTAAAATTGTTGAATCTATTGCGATATCTGGAAAAAGATTTTTGTAAAATACATATATGTTAAACATCTTGTATGTCTATTTTTCTTGTTTCTATCAATCTGTCAATAAGGATATCAATTTAAATAAGACTTTATTCAACATATAAAGAATGTTATTAGAGAATGGTTGAGATAAAATTATTCTTATTGTAAGTATTCAATGTTTCTTTCGATTCGATATCAATATCTTTGAAAGAACGTGAATTTGATTGTTAGTTTAATGTGTTAATAAGTTAAATATTTTAATTTTATTTAAAAGTACATTCATACCACTACTTAGTAGTTGTTTTAAATAATACATAATGAATAAACAATAAAAATGGAATTGTTGAAAAGTATATCTAACTTTATATAAAACAATTTATGAACGAATTATGTTTTTACATAAAACTATTTATATATGTATATATATTAATTGAGTAATAATATTAAAGGTTCTTTGGCAAACATACATTGGAAACGAAAAAATGTATAGTAGATAGATTTTTAAGTATATATATATAGTATGATATCATGAGTATGATGCTTTATATGTGGCACTTGGAATGTGGCAATTGAAGCAGTGGCACAATGTGGAAAAAATAACGGAATATAAATCAAAAATCTGCACTGAATAAATAAAATTGGTCTTAAAACGATGTACTATAGTCAATAATTTAAAAATATATAAATATAGTTATTTTATAACATATATCTATATTAAAGGGAATGCGTTGGGAATATTTCTCACAATTTCTAAATAAGGTGTCTAATGTTATGACATTAGCGACGCAACAAGTAGCCCGCCATTACAGTACGAATGTCAACTGTCAATAATAATGACAGCTAATACAAAATGGCCTCCCCTGACACGCAAAGCGTCTGTTTACCAATACGGGAATTATAGGTCCACAATAATAAAATTATATACTAGCAATGACTAGGTCTGTTTTATCATAATAATGAAAATAATTACTAGCGGCGTTTGAAGGGGGAATGTTCCTGGAATGATGGACTTCCTATGCGAGATTTTTTTTACCTTTTATGGGAAATTTTTAAAAGAACAAGCTTCGCAAATAGAATTTATAATAAGTTACTTATCTGACGGGAAAAAAAATGGAGTTTTTATATGTGCTCGGTCGGAAATACAAACGATTCAATCTTGAATGAATGGAAATCTATGGTTGTGGTCATACATGTGGCTTTGTTTTTTTTAATGTATCGGAATTCACACGTAAGAAATTCATTAATTCAACATGGAGTATAGTTTTCATAATATACAGATATAAATTTTATTGAAATCGAGTCTAGTATACAAATAATATGTCTAAATACTTAATTGTAGAATCTTTTAAGATGCATCTACCAAACGAAATTTTAGGTATATACGTAACATTTGATAAATTTATTTCGATTCTTGAAAAATTTGAATATTTTTACTATATCTCGATTATGAATAAGATAATAAAGCATCATTTTATAAAACTCGTATGGCGAGGTTTGGAAAAAATTCTAATATGAGCATCAAAAAGGCCGCCATCTAGCGGTAACAGTAATGATACACCGTGACAAATTCATTTTCGATCGGGCACGCGAACTGTTCCGAGATTTTATTGTCTTTACTAATTTACATTCTATATATTTTATTTTATTATTACAGTTTTACGTTTTATAAAATTGTATTAAAATCCCTAATAATATTATAAATGCGAAAGTAACTCTGCCTGTCTGTTTGTTAAGCTTTCACGCCTAAACCACTGAACTGATTTCAATGAAATTTGGTACAGACATAGAGTTGACCTTGAGAGAGAACATAGGATAGTTTTTATCACAGACTATTGAAAGGTTCTCTTGGAAACGCGATGAACGTATAAAATCCTTATATTATTATTCGAGACTTTCTTTATTAATATTTATGTCAAATATATCTTTTTAAATGTCTTTCTTTTAAATGCAATTGATTGAAATAAAAGTATTATTGAATAGTATTAAGGTTAATAAGTTACCATGAATATTTATATATTATTTTAAAACCTAATTATTTGATCATAATCTTCTATCTGCGACAGCACGCAGCATCAGATTATAATATTTTAAATCAAGGATATCTAAAGAATCTGGGTGATATTGAAATAAACTTATTTATTATCTATAGCAGTATTTTTTATCTGTGACACGATTTGACAGATGTCAGACAATAGTATTTATTTTAATTTTGGACGTGTTAAAAATTTATTCTTTAAAATAATTTAGAGATAGCTTAAATTTCATTAAGTTTCTTTGTAGCATTTAAAATGCTATTGTTCAAAAATCAGAGCCACTGATGCGTTGACTTGTAATGAATGTTTGATGGTTTTATGGGGATCCCATTATTTATGGGGCGCCGTTTTTCCCATGAGCCCCCACGATTTGCTTCACTTCACTAGCGTTAAAATAAACTTGTTATGTATATAGCTTTGTTAAACTTACTATATTCTTGAGACCTTATTTTTTTAGCCATTAAAGACTTAGTATAGTCATCATAATTTAGTTGAAAGTTTGAAAAAACATCGAAACTGTCCAATTGTTGGGTATAAATTAAAGATATCATCAATATACTTATCTCATGTTAAAATTAATTCAATTTCAAAGTAGAAAGAGTTCAAAAATAAATTAAAAATTTGTTTGCTGATTTTATGATTAATATCTCCTTAATTAGTCACCAGAGGAAACGAAAAATAAGGTAGAAAGAAAATGACATAAAAATAGTATACCTACGAATAATATTGAAAGAAAATATGACAAAATTAAATATAATTATAAATTAGTTTTAACTAATATGAGTTTCACTATTATTTCTTGAATACTTCCTTTTATTTTTGGGTATAAACATCACAATATACTAACAAGTGTTGAAAATATACACGACTAATGTCGGTGGTCCGAACTCGCCTAATTTATTTTATTAGTGTTTTTTAAACAAAAAACTTAATTGGCTATCTCAAACATATTCAAGGAATAATTTCTCACAGAACTAACGCGAGGAGACTTGCCCAACCGAACAAATGACCCCGGATAAATAACCCTTTTTCGGCAAGCTCTTTGAGTTAATTACGAATATACCATCCCTTTCTGACTTATATAAATATAAATACATCTATCCCTTTCAGATTGGATTTCTTTTTATGCCACGACGGCGCTTGTAAAAGGTCCATGTCGGGTCAAATCGTTTTGTTACATATCTGTTGTTATTTTTTTTATGTTTGTTTCTGTTGATTGTTCCTCGTAATAATAATGTTTTAAGCTAATTGGTGTTAAGTTTTATTGAAAATTATTAACAAACCCCAACCGTTTGAGGTATCAATTAATAAGTTCCAAGTAGATACAAGCTATTGAGACAAAAAAGGTTGACAAAAAATCTGTTTGATTATTTAACAACTTTATTTCGTGTAATTCTAACACAGACTATAAACATTGACATAATAATGTTGCCATTATAAAATAATATAAAAAAAATCTACAGCTGTAGCAACACTAATAAATATCGAAATATATAATAGCAATTAGAGTATATATAAATTCAACATTAACTCCTGTGACCCATTAAATAACCCGTAAAACTTAGGATTAGGTTAATTGGTTAGTTTAATATGTACATATATAATTAACAATAAAAACTTGGCTTGTGATACTTAGCTTGCATATTAAACGCTGATGGCATTTGTAACCCCTATGACTTATAAGAATCGCAAATTAATATTAATGGTGCAATACATCTGCGTATAAAAAAAAACTATCACTGGGTTTTTTCTTAATATAATGATAGAAATTATTTCTGCTAAGCCAAAACAGAGAATTTACTAAATATCACAAATTTTGTGAACATTATCATATATGTATTTGATAACGATTTATAATTACTAACAATAATTTAAATCTCTATAATAAATATCATCTTAATATTAAAACCGTGAACATATACGAATTAAAATAAAAAAAAATTACCATAAAAAAAACTCCGTCTAAATAACTTAACAAAAAAAAACTCTAACTACCTCCAAAATCATTTTATGGGTAGGTTTAATTAAATATAACATCAATACAATATTTATTACATTGAAATTAAATTCCATTACTGTATCGATGTGAATCAATTGAGTGTGACGATCAAATTGTTTTCCCTAAAACCCTTCGACCTCAAATGACCCTGGGCGCCGTTAGTTTTATAGCACCAACTATTAGACTTTTACTTGTTTTGTATCTCGTTTTTTCATTATAGAAACTTAGAATATTCATATATAAGTTGATTCTTTGTGTTATTCCCAAAGAGGGTTGATGTCAGGCAGGCGGCCGGTCGTAAAACTATTCATAACATGTAAGGCAGACCCTGGCTATAGCTGTGAAATTGCCAGGTAGAAGAAGTTAATTCTCTGTGTTTTCTATATATAATATATATTTTTCGTTGTTCCAGGCTCAGTAAGCGGCATAATACCATACCAGCGGAATAAATCCCTCAAAATTACACGAATTCAATCCCCAAGCACCAAACCCGACACCCTGAGTTTCTCAGATCCCTTCGGGCCTCCTCAGTCCTCGGACGGGGGGGGCCCATCTACCCCCCAACCAGCCATGACCACCCAGGAGCTAGATCACCACCACCACCTCGGTGGATCTCAAACACCCCACGATATATCCAATTCAACTAACTCAACCCCAACTAACGTATCATCGAAATCTGCCTTCATAGAACTTCAGCAACACGGCTATGGCTTCAAAGGGGGTTATCAACACCCCCACCATTTCGGCAGCCCGGGTGGTCAACAGAATCCCCATGAAGCGTCAGGTTTCCCAAGCCCTAGATCCTTAGGTTATCCATTCCCTCCCATGCATCAGAACACCTATGGCTATCATTTAGGATCCTACGCCCCCCAATGTGCAAGCCCTCCGAAAGATGGTAAGTAAAAACTATAATTGATAAAGAAACTTATAATATATGCTATATTTTATTATAACTAGCTTTCCGCCCGCAGCTTCGCCCGCGTGGAGTTCGGTTATATCGCGTTTCCAAGAGAACCTTTCAAAATTCTGGGATAAAAACTACCCTATGTTCTTTCTCAAGGTCAATTCTATGTCTGTACCAAATTTCATTAAAATCAGTTCAGTGGTTTAGACGTGAAAGCGTAACAGACAGACAGACAGAGGTACTTTCGCATTTATAATATTAGTAGGGATTTGGTATGTGTCCCGCGTTATAGGAAAAAATATACAAGGACAGTATTTTTTTACAGTAATCACAAATAAATATCTATTATAAGGTAGAAACGTGTCATTATTTGTATTAGGTGATGTCATATACTACCTGTAATTTACAAACTTTTTTGAAGTGTTACTTTTTTAATTTTATATTTTCGAGCGAACAGTACGTATACACAAAATGGATATTACAAAAAATATAGGAAGATATTTTTATGAAAATCATTATAATATAAAATACTAGTTAAAGATTTTACTTATATTTGATTATATTTTCTGTTTTTTCTATCTTAATAAATAAAAATTGTTGCAAAATTTCATCAGTAAGTTGTCAAAAAAAAATTATATATATATATTTTAACAAAAGAGATATATATATATATAAAAAGTTTGTATGTCCACCAGTAATAGATAAATATAGAGCCGTCAAAACAATGTGGTTCTGTCATGTCTTTCACTGAATACGTAATGATTCTACCCTACAATTTAGTGGTGTGTGAATTTTTAAACATAACACGGAAACACCCTGTATTACGTTGTTGCAACTCTCTACTGACAGCCTGTTATGAAACGAATATAGAAATTCTATTATAACTAATATATTTTTATTTAGAATTCAATTAATAATATTATCTGTAAATTATTTTGACGTTTAATTCTTTTAACGCCCCGTCATTTTGACAGTCACTTAAAACGTTCCATTTTTTTATTACAAGCAGCCAGTATTATCTAATAATTATTAATGCCATATATATAACCTATTTCAACACGCAACGTCGAATAAAAAAACATTAACTGCCAAAGGAAATTGAACAGTAAATTAATGTCTTCCGATATACTGTTTCCAGGCATCTACACACGTCCGAAGGTCGATTTTCCTTTGTCGGTTTTTTTGAAATTTTATGAAGTTTCTACTTCGGCTAACGAAGGTTATATTATAGAGAAAGGATTTGTATGCACGTTTTTGCTTGTTATACTATTTCAGTATCATTTTGGGTTCTTTTTATATATTCCGTGCTATAAAAATAACGTTTTTATTCACAAAATATCCGCCTTTTATGATCCGACATAAACAATTAAGCAAAATTATTCAAATGTATCTCAATAACATTGTCTTAGAGGCAATAAATTTGAATCAACACAATCAAATTTCGTCAACAAAATTATAAAAAATACACCAACTCAACCTGACCCTCGCGATGTATCTTAACATAATTATAATAGAGTTCATTTTAAAACGGTCACATTTTCCACTTCAAATACATAATTGCCTTTATTACAACGTGTTAAAGTTCATATTGTAATTACTTTTAATTTTTTTTATTATTTTAATCTCTATGTTTTAAAAGTAGAGTCTAAATTCGTATAGCAAGCTTAGGTCATAAATCTTAGCCATAGAATTGTTTTTGTTAATTATATAATTGTTTTAGTGTATTTGTAGGTTTGTTTGTCAATTACCTAATATCTAGTAAAGTGTGCTGTTTTTTGTCACTCTAAGTATTATTTTATGTATAATATATATTTTTTGTATCTTTATCGCCGCTAGCGTTATAACATACCCGTCATTATAGATAGTTTTAATTATTACTGTTGTTTTCAAGCATTTTTCGAAGAAAAATCAACGCTCGGGGCTGAGCACGTGGGTACTATTAACGACAAAAGTTTTATAAATATGTTATATATATTTTTGTGTAATTTTTCTTACGAATTTATTATATCGTGTAGAAACTAAGAATATTTAAGTTTTATCTTATATACATATTAATACTCAAAATATAATAGAAAATACATACATACATATATTTATCTCTTTTTTTCAATATAATACATATATAGTACTTTAATATATATTTTATAAGTCTAATATATGTTATATTATTATTCATATATTAAACCACTTGTGTGTCCGTCAGTCATCCATAAACGCTCGTAAGGCGGTGCCGGGCCTCTACGAATCTTTATCTTTTATCTTTAAAAAACGTTATATCTAAAGCACATCAAATATCGTTAAAAAATATATTTTTTAGTTGAGATATTTTTCAATAATTTTCCTTCTAAAGTTTAATATATTATCTATGTTAGACTTCAAACTGTATGTATTAAAAAAATGACTACCAGTGTTGTAAAAAAAATTTAATAGCATTTTTATTGTGACAGTACTAAGCAAATACCTACTTACAATTCAATTGAATAGAAATATTTTTTCATACATACATATAAACATATCTTATCAAAAAGAAATATATAACTATAAATACACATAAATAAAAAAGTATATATATATATATATGTATATATGATACACATTTCAAACGATGTAATAAGTAGATTAAAGCAAATCAATATTTTTTTTACATCGGATACCTACACAATCGATAAGAAATATATGTAACGTGTTGGATGATACTGGCGTGGAATGAAAAGAAATACCAACATTATTTCAAAGAAATAACAATCAAAAATCCTTACTAATATTATAAATGCGAAAGTAACTCTGTCTGTCTGTCTGTCTGTTACGCTTTCACGCCTAAGCCACTGAACTGATTTTAATGAAATTTGGTACAGAGATAGAGTTAACCTTGAGAAAGAACATAGGATAGTTTTTATCCTAGACTTTTGAAAGGTTCTCTTGTAAACGCGATATAACCGACTCCACGCGGGCGAAGCTGCGGTCGGAAAGCTAGTATTGAATAAAATTTAACCCAGGACTACGCCAAAATCTTATAAAAATTTTTGTCTACATGAAATCTAAATACAATATATTCAATCCTTTTTATAAAAGAAATAAATTTTTTAACAGGTTTCGGTGAAAGTAATTAAAAATTATAATAAGATTCTCAAGATTTCTTTAATCTTTTTTCTGTTTCATACTCGTAGGATAAGGTCGTGCACACACTAGCGACAGTAATACATTATATTAAGTAGTGACATTTAAATGGACATTTTAATTTAATTCCAATTAGTGTATAAATATCTTAATATGGTTATAAATTATAATGTATGTCTTATTAACACATCGATGTAGTAGACGTGCGACTTGTCGTATAGTTGTATATATAAATCAGCGACATTTTTGTCGCGTGTCTGTACCGTTTTTTTGGTGGACGGCTAAATGTTTTTTTATTTGAGTCGTTTTATTGCTTTTTTTTTGAGTGTTTCGTTTCATCTCCGTTTTTCGGTAGGCGGTTCATAGGCGGGGTTACGTTGCTACAAGCCAGATGAAACATTGAGCTTACATTAAGCTGATTCTGATAGGATTTATATATATTAATATTAATAAAAATTATATTAATTTTTATATATATGTATATATTTGTCATACATACTGTACATTCAAACATATATATACTAATCATTTTAATATTATATTACATAAAAATATTCATTATTAATTACATCATTTATGTTTACATCGGTTTATGTTAATCGATATAAAAAAACTATCGATATAGTTACATCACTAGAACTATCGACAAGTAACATCACTGCGTGGGTGTGTCCGTACCTCGGGCTTTCATTGTTTTGTCCGTCTGTATGTCTTGAATGGTTTATACAGCCATGGGAAACATCATTCAATGGATTATAAGAAACCATGGAATAACCACGAAAGTATATAAAAAAATATATATGACATAAATTTTGTGAAAATACCAACTCAATACTCATAGAACTCATTGAACTCATAGAACTCATAGAACTCATAGAACTCATAGATCTCATAAAACTCATAGAACTCATAGTACTCAATACTAAGTAATAAATATATCAAATTAAAATTCAACTGAATTTATGTAGCTATCTGTATTAGTCGAAACTGTTCAACTACCGCAAATACAAGATATATATCAACCAGACATTACAGTGATAAATTGAGTAATATTACAGTTAATATGAAATACAGACTCAAATATGTTCAGAAAACACTTTAAAACTAATAAAAAAATACCCACTGTATTGTAGAATATAAAAAAAAAATAACAAACCTCTTTGTTGAAGTCACAAAAAAAAAGAAGTACATTCAAAATGTCGGACGTACGTTAACCAAAAACTGGGTGTTGGGCGATCGTTTAATACGATACGATACTTTACACTGTAATTACGAGTCACCACTAACTATTATCAAGTAGCGGCCCTTCATATATTACAAGAGATGCCATGCACGGAATATTTATAAAGAGGATTTATTACTACGTTTGTTGGTATACGGTTCTTGGATTTTGGCGCGAAACGTCATGTCCGTGTCATAGATTATAAAAGGTGTTTCGTTTTAAAATATAACACCTGCTTTTACGTTATCGGAATATGAATTTTTTATTTATTCATTGAAGATTATGTGAAATTGTTTTTTGATATAGAACCTCTTTGCAGAGAAATGCGGCCTCTCCGACGATCCCGGGTTACGTGTGAACGGAAAAGGAAAGAAGATGAGGAAGCCTCGCACGATATACTCCAGCTTGCAGCTACAACAGCTCAATAGAAGGTTCCAGAGGACTCAGTACCTCGCGCTGCCGGAAAGAGCTGAACTAGCAGCTAGTTTAGGACTCACACAGACTCAGGTATGAAAACCTTTGCCTTATATTACATACGGGAAATTTAAAAAAAAAATGTCACATTCCAAATTTAAATTCAGGATATTTTGGACTTATGTATGACATTCTCCTTTGCCTGACATTACGTGCAATTAAAAAAAATATTTGTCATATTCCAAATTCAAATATATACCTACCTATTACTTTCGAATTATACAGACTCAGGTATGCCATACTCCTTTGCCTTATATTACGTGAAATTAAAAAAAAAAATCTGTAATGTTCCAAATTCAAATATCTCGATATTTTGGACTTACACAGATTTATGTATGACAATATCCTTTGCCGTAAATTACGTGAAATTTAAAAAAAAAATCCGTCATATTCCAAATTCAAATATCCCGATACTTTCACTGGCATAATACTAAATATATATTCGACTTTAAAAAAAAAAGAAAAACACAACCGACATCAAAGTAGTAATTATGTCGCGAAGCTAATAATTAAACGAGCGTCTATGCACAGTTATAATTTTTTATACACCTAAATAAATGCTATGACAAATGAGACTTTATTACAATGGAGTAGATCACAAAACGGCTCGCTGTTCATTCACTAGTATTAAAGACGAAGCCTATAATTAAGAGACAGAACTTTTTCATATCTAATCTGTGACGGATGGCGTTTAGAAATATATTTACGTTTTTCCATGTTTTATTATTATTATTTTTTTTTATATAATTTTTCTTTCAGTGGAATTTTATTGTGGTTATAATTTTTTATAGTATATATATAATTTTTTTTTTATTACATAGACATAATATATATTCAAATCACACAATGGCTGATTACATTCGACCTGTGTATCGAAAAATTAAAAAAAAAAAAGCTTCAAATTTTTCGCGCCAATCCCACAACTATTCGATTGGTCTCGTAAAAGATTGATTCGTCATGTGTCACCGTGTAGAATGAATAATCGTACCGCGGCTTTGTAACATATAGAGTTTCTCTTACTTTCTATTTATTTTTAATATATAAATATATATACCTATATTCAAGTCAAACATATCAATTAGTAAACCATTAAAACAGAATTCTAAATACCATTAATAATTAGTGACATTTTTTAACAGACACAATATGTTAAATTAATTGCGATGATTGAGAAATTAAACTTTGTAAATATCCGGTTTTAGATAGAAAAAATTATATAACAATAGCCATTTAATATTCCCTAGTTATAATTCTTGTTTGTGAGGGAAATCGAACGAGTGACCTTAATAAATGTTTTAACTATGATCTTTAATAACAATTACCTATATGACAAAAAAGATAAAATTAGTTCGTCCCCTCTGTACATACATAGCTCTGTTAACGGTTCCAAAGTAATCTTTAGTTAATTTTATTATAATTTAATATTTCTCGTGATTGTTTGTACGCACTTTGATGATCCCGCGTCTTTTAGTGATGCGATATAATATCGATGGAAATTATTATCGATAATCTTTAAAATATATTCAAGCCCTAGAATCTAGATATTTCGATTGTATTATACCTATGTATATGACGAAAATAATTACTGTATATGATTTTAATAGTTTTAATATAATTTTAAGTTATCTTTATAGAAAGCACAACACTATTTGACCCGAGTTTCCTATATTATATTCGATTCTTCATTAAAATTAACAAAAAATACAAGCTATCTCTATCCAACAAAAACATAATCAAATCATTCGGGCGTCACAATCGTAATAAATACATCACAGAACACTAACCTTTATTACAATGTTGATAGATACGTTTTTTGCTTCAATAAATCTTCCCATTTGTCTAGGTGCCGTTTATTATCCATTGTTCGTGAGTTTAATCAGTCGCTGGCATTCTCAATGGCTTCTTAGTTATGGAAATGTTATAAAAAATATATTTTATATTTCGTAATAATGGAATGATTGATTGATCTCTTTAATTTTTAATATAAAAGCGTGTATTACAAATGACTTTGTCAATTGGTGCGGCCGTTAAGAATGTTCCCGCCGAAATAAATGTCAAAATAATTAAAACTTACAACATGATAATCAGTAATAAATATGTGATTTATTAATTATATTATTATTAAATAAACAGTTCTCTATATAAAAAATGATCTGTTATGATTGTCATTATAAAAATATATCACTTTTGGCGCCAAATGTGAAACCAATAAAAAGTTATGCACAGATAACTCAGGAGCCGATCTGTCACAGAACAATAGATAAAAAATAAAAGAAAACAAAGCATAAAGGCTACCGCTGTGGAGTTGAGTCCAAAAAAACTCATTTGTGATCGGAAGGCGTCAGAATGAAATGATGATGGATGACCGATTTAATTCGAATTATATGTATGACGCGTGTGACGAAACGGAATACGTGTTTCTAGTAATGTTATTTATAACGCCTTCTATACTCTATGGTATAGTTTTGAGGAAATAAATTGTCTATGACCATTGTTAGAGGGAATTTAATTTTAAAGTTTTTTTAATAGATAAATAATGGAGTCTTAGTTTTAGAATTAAATTTCTTATCAAATTATTTTAATACAATTTATTAATATATAACGATTATATATGAAAACAAAATATACATAATATATTTGTATGATATATTTTCATTATTCTACACTTTTTTCCCATTGAATCATCCACCATATAATCAAAATTGTATTTCATCATACTTTTGGCTACATTTAGCAGAACACTTTCATATATTGAATAGAAATTAATAAAAAGAAATAAAATTTAAAAGTATATATAACAATGAAGTGCAAATACGAACTAATATCTTTTGTGTCTCAGTTATTATCTCTAAAAAAAACCGCTACTTTAACAGGAGCCATGTATTTTTTCAATACAATTGTATTTTAAAGCAAGTCATTAGATTTGATTCGATTGGTCGGTCTTAGATCTTTGACAGCCAATCAGAGGATGGAATTTGAATTTCGAAAGTCATCACAGATAACATTCTACATGATGACTTTTGATTTTGACATTATACGTTCAGAAATACACAATGAAAAAACTTTATAGAGTATTAATATATAAAAATATTACTCTCATATATGTTATATATAAAATTCTCGTGTAGTGTTAGACAGAGAACTTCGAAACGGCTGGATCGATTTTGATTAAATTTTGTGAGCATTGAGTAGATCTGAGAATCGGACAACATCTATTTTACATACCCCTAAGTCATAAGGGTTGTTCACATTTAATTTTATCATTTTTATTTTCGGACGAAACCTTTTGTTTTTACTGTTTTTAAACCCAAAAATTTTTACTATTTTATCACCAACTTCTAGTATATACATATATATAATAAAAAGAATCTCTTAAAATAAATTCAAATAAAAAAACCATTCAGTTGTTTACTATCATGGAAAGGACGACAAATTGGAAAATTGTTACCAATTGTTAACAATTAACTGCAATTGAACAATAAATTATGTGATTGTTAAATACTTGAACATTTTCAACTAAAATGTGAGAAAACGAACATTTTAACATCCAAAGATGTAACATTCGATGTCATAAATATTATAACACAATTTATTAATATTTATATATGTATATATATAATTTATAAACATTATATTCCACTTAATATAATGATCTAAAATAAATATATAAACAAGACTATATTAATTAAAACATTAATTAATTATAGGTATGACATTTTATTAGTCTAACTAATTATTACTTTTTACTTATACAGTATATATATAAACTTTATATTAACTTCTACAACAACTCTACATTACTATTCAAGACAATTAAAACTAAAGTTAAAGTTATTTGAGCAGTGTAATTAAAATTTTAACTGCAAGTAACTTCTGAACTGAAATTATGTTACTTTACCTTTAATAACTAAATATGTATATTTATATATATGTCAGTGGTGGCCTAATGGTTAAAAGGCCCGCCTCTCATGCATGAGGACACAGGTTCGATTCTGGCAAGTACCAATGTGATTTTTCCGAGTCATATGTACTTTATAAGAGTATTTAAACATCACTGATTAATGCATTCCCAAAGAGGGTTGATGTCAGGCAGGCGGCCGGTCGTAAAACAATCAGCCAAAACTATTTACAACATGTAAGGCAGATCCTGGCTAAAGCTGGGAAATTGCCAGGTAGAAGAGAGAGAGATTTTTTTTTAAATACCTATACGAATATATATATGTTATTAAAGGTAAATTAAGTAAATAATATATAATACATAATAAAAACATCTATTAAAAATATAAAAGTTTCATCTAATATAAGTTTTCATATTAATCATCCTTATATAAAGTCGGTTAATTCTCAAGAAGGAAATTACTAAACAAGATGTGATAGCCATCGTTCCAATAAATTCAGGAATATCTGGTTCTAGATACTAGCAGATGGAGTGTTCAAGATATTATAAATATATGAATAATATTAAAAAACCTACACTTCATATTATACAGGGTGACTGGTGAATTACTATCAATATTTAAGGAGCATACTCGGTACATGATTCTCATTCGAATTATGTAAAAAAAAATAGGTACTTAATTTTTGACCAAATTTCCGTATAAATAAATAAAGTGTTGACACGTTCCAAGTGTTCCAAGTGTGGATGCGTGCGGCGGCGTGCTGATACAACAACACGCCGCCGCGCGCGAGTGTGTGTGTGTGTGTGTATACCTAATCTGTAGGGTGTGCATACGATGCGTAATTAATTACATAACTTTTGGTTAACTTTACTTAGAAGTTTATTAATATTTATGTTATATTAAGTTTTATTTTGTCATATATGATCGTCAAATATCACGTCCTCAAATATCGATAGTAATTCACCAGTCACCCTGTATAGTAGCAACACTGAAATAACTTCAAATATAGATAATAATTTACATTATTCGTTAGTATATAAATTAATTTTAACAGTCAGTGGTGGATTAGTGGTTAAAAGGCCCGCGTCTCATGCATAAGTGCGTGGGTTCGATCCTGGCAAGTACCAATGTGAT